ATCTGATGAACTTCATTACTAGAAAATAAATCTCTTCTGTTGTCTTTATGTATATACTAGAAAATCTTAAAATCTTAAAGATAGAATAAAAAGATAAAGTGCATTTCAAGAAAATCAGAATCCTCTATTTTATATAGTACTTTGCCATTTTTAATAACTTATTTGTGTTACTTTGTTTTTAAAGAGCAGATGAAGAATTTCAAAACAGACATTACAATCATCTATACTGTACCACAAAAGTGAAACAAAACCGTGATTTTTTTTTTTTTTTTTTAAATTATCCATTAACCATTGGGATAGGCATTGTTTCATGACAAAATTTGGATTGTTTCTGCCAGGATGAGTTTAACAAATAGTGTTCAATACATCATCTCAATAAAACTCTCTCTTCCAGAAGGTACAGCAGAAAACACAACAAATTAGTTGTTATATTGGGAACTGCAGTTCAGAACAGTTGGGAATTGCAAGAAAGTAAAAAGATGAGAAGCATAAATTCAAATATGTTTTCATGAAAAGTGAGCAAAGGAAGATAAACAAGAAACTGCAAGACCACATGGAACCCTAGTTAAGCTTATTTATCTAGCAACAATAAAACCTGTTGGTCCTGTTGTTTCATAGAAACTATATAGTGCCATAAAGCTGCACAAAGTAAATTTTAAATGTTAACACACTAGAAATTGTAGTGTCTTACTTAGAGTTGAAGAGCTATGGAAGGCCTAATATTAAAGATAGTGGAGAAGCTTGTCCCATTCTCTTGAACTTTCTCGGAAACCTCTGTGCACATACAGAAGGATTAGCCAGTAAAATCCTTTCAGCTTACTTCTACTGCCAGGTATTTTTTCTATAACTACCAGAAAAAGGAAGCATAAATAAAAAACATTCAGTGCTCTGTGTTTTGGAAATCCTGTTTCCTAGCTACACTTAATTGTTTTGTTGGTTAAACAACTCATTTAAAAAATTTCTTTGAAACACTGCTGAGCCAGTAAGAGTCTTAATGGATCTGTGAATAGGATGGTAACAACAATAAGGCTCGCCTGAAGCTTTTCTCTGTATCCAGACAGAATTAAATCATGATGAGGGAAGTTGTAGTTGATCTAATTATAAATATATATTTGTTGTGTTTTATACTTTTTTACTACTCAGTATAATATTTTCAGTGTACCAGACGTCCATACGTATTGCCATTTTTTTCATTTGGAAGTTCAATAGAAAGGGAGAAAATCCTTTAGAAAGTTCAAAATAGCACAGGTGCTCCAAATGGTATATGCCGCTACTATCGCAGTATTACAAAAATTACACAAAATGGAAATCCAACTCCTCTACAAAACTTAAGAACAATTTACTGAAGGTCTTACAAATAGGCTTAAAATATTAGAGGACAGGAAATAACATATGACTTCAAGGACTAAGTTAAGAAATAAGAACTTCATTCTGACAAAATATTCAAAAGCAGTAGTAGTATTGGGTTCCCAGAAGAAGTGGAAAGGTAATCTGACATACTTTATAGAATATTTAGTCTTGTTCGGTTGACGATGAAGTATGAGACTTTACATTTACTCAAATTTAAAACGTTTTACCAATATAGACCTGAGGCTTTCTATTCTCCTTTGCTAGACAGCGTTGAGTGAAAAATTCTATGAATATTTTTCAGTTGTGGCTGGCATCTGGATGTATTTGCACTTATTTCCCAAAGTGTTAATCTCCTCCACAGGATTTCAAGTGTATAATAAACGGAAGTCAAGACAGCTTCTCCATATAGCATTCCTGCCTGTTAGAGGAGTGAGAAATTAGCCGCTGAAGTTAGCCAAGTTAGTCATGAGGCATCCCTGTGGTCACAAGAAGAGTTAGTAAATCTATTGGGGGATTGCTTAAAGTATGCAAATATTTAAAAGGATTCTTCCACCTATGTTTTAAGATCCATAAAGTTCCTTTGTTTTTCAAAAGAGATTAAAAAAATTGTAATGGAAAAAAGTGGTGAAAATTTGGGAAGTTCCTATTAAAATCTTTTTCTAGGAGAGGAGATGTTATAGTTACCAGAAGAATGTTCTTTACTGTCAAAAAAGAGTGGTATGGACAGAATTAGTTTGTTTAAACATACAAATTTAAACAACTCTTCCATGAAACTATGAATGTCACTAAACTCAGTCAGAGGGAAATAATAGGAATTTGTTCTGTGGCTAATGGCTGGAATTGTTCTTTTCTGTTTTATTCAGCATTATATGTTTCTGTGTAATCTATGCTTTGTCTTACCCTGCTATGTGTAACTAACTGGGTGATTTTGATGAGTATGTTTCCTCACTTCAACCAGATGTATCCCATTTATGGGGACAGTGAAAAATAACAAGTATCTTCAAGCTACTTTAATCGGTATTTTATCTGCGTAGGTTTCCAGTGAACCATCCTGTTCCACAAAGCTGAACTAGGATACAACTTTTCATGTTGTTCGTGATGCTGTTTTAACTCTATTATGTTTCCTATGTTCTCTTCCTCTGTAAGTGATTCACATTAAAATTATAGTGTGGTTTATAGATTTTGTTCTAGAACATAATAGAATTGCTATTTTTTTGGCAATGATTTATTTTGGTGCAATATTTGCAGCAATTTGTTTTATTAACTGTGTGATCTAGTCTTTTTAAGAGGCTAGCTTAGAGGTAAAGTAATAGCTATTTAACTAATACGTTATAGGATTATACCCCAGCATAGCTTCAGTTCAGCTCATCAAATGATTACCTAGAATTCTCCATTTTGTTAACAGGCAATATTCTGGCTCCTCTATATTGAATTATAACTTGATTGCTTCATGCGCTGTTGACCTGTTTGCTGTGAAATCTTCCATAGAATACCCATACTTAAAATGTTTCTTGAATGTTTTTGGACATTTATACAGTTTAGAACAGCTGCTGTGTTGTCAGATAGAAGCACAGTATGGTAATTAGTGAGCTATATAATATTAAATATATCTGAAAATAGTTGCAGGCATTAACAGAATTTCCAGCATTTTAAAATGTAGCTGATAAATATGAAATTTTTATAGCAATAACTTTATAGCAATATATTTTTCCTACAAATTTATTGTTTTTTAGTCAGCAGTGTGCTTGAGAGTGGACTGGATATGGAAGAATAAATAGAACTCAAGGCAATATTGTAGATATGTGCTCAACTTTGGATATACACAAAAAATTCCAAGTTAGGGCATCAGTTTCCCTCTCTTTTTCTCCTACTTTATGGTTTCAATAATTTAAATGAAGATGGTGCTTTGCCTGATTATCTGTCTCAAATGTGTCATAAATTCTTCAGAATTATGCATGAGTACAGTGCACTAATATTGAGATTGTAGCTCAGCAGGTAGCAACTTTAACTTGCATGGATGATTAGTTTGCCTAGAGGACAGGGTGTAAATTAGAAGGGGTAACTTGAAAATATTGATGATTTCATCTTTCTAACTCAATTTGCAAATTTTTATTTTGAAATACTTTAACATATGTACTAGAAGGACTTTAAATTAGTGTGACTCGTACAATAGGAACCATGGCAGTCATTGTTTCCTTTGCTAAAAATATATTTAATAAGTTCTTACTACCATCCTTGTAGTAGAAATACTCAGTTTTATTCCATGTACTCAATAATTAGACTTGAAGTTAATTAATGTTCTATATCTTGTCATGAGGCACTTACAAATTCTTAGTACATTTTTAGTGCTGAAACCAGTTGCAACCTGCTTTGTCAAATTTCATCTGTATGTCTAAAGGAACTTTCTTTCTCCTTATGTTAATTACCCAGAACTAACCTCCCTTTCTTAAGTTGTGGTCCTCAAACCAGTAGTCATTCCCTAAAAGCCGCTGACATTTCTCAGGGCTAAAAGGAGGGCAAAGTGTGAGGTTGCCTGCAGAAGATTACCTGCTTGCTGCTACTCTCTAGAGATCAGCAAAGACTGGGGACTACTTCTAGAAAACCAAGGGCTTTTGCTGTGGGAAGGAGGGTCATATCCTTTATGGTTTCCTATTTCCCTTTTTTCTTTGGTTAACTTTCACAAAATGAATTCTACTTATGTGTTTGTATCCCAGACTTCTGGTAAATTTGAAGAGTCATATTTCTACTGTCCTTTTTTTAACCCTGTTATATTGATTTATCTTTAAATATGCCCGAGTCATCTTTCTATGCTAAAAGGCCAGGATCCTAGCCAATTTGTTTTGTTTTTTTTTTAAAGAAAGTAGTAATTCTTATTCAGCATTCTAAAATACCAGCTGACAAATGTGCTAATGAAAATTCAAAACATTGTAGGGTTCATCTACATTTAAAACTGGGTATTATGAACAGATATAAAGTAATCCCCGTACTTTAGTTTTCCCACATTTGCATGACTGTTAAACATGAAGAATTGTGTTGTTATTCAAAATATTGATGATACTGAAACAAACTGAGCACAGATTGGGATGCCAATGCTTCTCGATGTTACAAAGAAACAGCAAGAGCCTTTGCAGCTGCTCTTTTCTGGAAAACAAACATTCTGCCTTGCAGCAAAGCGCGGGCCTTCAGAACTGAAATAAACAAATACACATTGTTCTGTGTGATGTTTAAAAGATGTTTATGATAGAAGAAGAACCCAATGAGAAGTGATACTGAAGTCCAGCTACATTGAACGACTGCCCGGCTTACATCTTGTGACCCCTGGCATGGCATGGGGTTCCATCAGTATTTGCAAACTCTTCTCTTGTCCCTTGGAATGTTTTTTCAGTGGATATTCATAAAAGACCTTCAATTAAAATTGTTTTGGAAAATGTGAAATTATCAGAAATTCAGCATAAACCAAAAACATCTGTTATGGGGAAAATACTTTTTTTATAACACTTACCACGGTTTTTGATACTGGACTAGAACAGTTAAGCGTTTCTGCTACCATTAACTACTGATCAGCTTGCTCAATACATTGTGTATTCTGTAAATAAGAGAAAAATAGCCCATGAAAGCTGTGCCTATTTTTTTTTTTCTCCATTTTGCAGATTGTCCAGAGGAAGTGTGGGGATTTCCCATGTGTCAGTACTTGAAGGACAAGGGCTGGTGCTGTGGTCGCAATGCTAGAATGTCAGCATGCTTGGTATGATTCCCCTCTTTTCTTTTTCCTACTGAGAGCATTATCCAGATGTTATAGGATTCATTGTTTTTGGCTTCTAATCCTAGAGCCATGACTTTAATCCAAGACTCTACAGAATAACATCATTAATGTTGTAAGCATGATGAATTATATCTAAAAAAATAGTATTGACCTTCCAGCTTTATATATTTTATACTTGCTGAAGGCATGAAAAAATGAGTATTGACAGAAATTTATTTTAAGAGTGGACAGAAAGGCCAAACCTTTGTTGAAACCTAAACAAGGTAACCCCTCAGGGTAATACAGTTCCTGGCGAAGGACTTAGGGAGGAACAAGGTAATTGTAGAAGGATTGCAATCACTAACTCTCCCAATGCCTTCATGATTCATAATATTGAATGCTCTGACTGTTAAAACCTACACAAACCTGCCTATTCCAAAAACTAGACGAGCTCTAAAATCCGTGTGGCTTAAGAGACTGGAAACATCCTTTTAACATTGCACCAAGAGATGAAGTGCTTTTAAAGACCTAGCATCATCAAGACAGGATGATGAACTGTTGTCTAATTTGAAAAAACAGATATGTGCTGAAAATTTCAACCACTGTTTCAGTTAGAAGACCACTATTCCTTTCCTCTATTAATTTTTAATTTCTGGTATCAAGATGAATCACATCAGGTTATGGCTAGCCTCTGCTGATAGCTCTGTACCTCCGTTACGGAGAACAGTGTGGACTAAAGACTCGGTATAGGCTAGCGTATCAAGGTTATGTAAACCTGAACTAACAGGGTAATTAAATGCTATCAGGAGAAGGTATAGCAGGACGGTTGTTTAGTATTCATAAGGTTTAAATGTGTTACCCTTAGCAAGGTACAAGAAAAAAACTGTTCCTTTTAGAGATGTTGTAAAACTTAACACAAAAAGTGCGTTCTAAACGGGATTTGCCTTTTCTCTTTTTGTTGTCGATGTCATACAATAGCAATTCTTCCTCATCTGACACATAAGCTATTTCCTTTCCCATTCCATTTCTTTTGGAAAGGAAAAGTTTGGGCTGTTTTTCAGCAATGGTAGGAGGATAAATTTTGTAAGCAAATGACCCTCAAGAGACAGTACTGAATGTGCCATATATATCTATTTTAGATTTCACAGAAATCACAGAAGTTTGGCAGTTAAAAACTTTTTTTGTTTAAACATTCACGAAAGGCAAAGAGTTCTCCTGTGTCACCAGATACTTCTACTGTTATTATGTTTGTAATTCTCTCTATGCATTTTTCATGACTAGGATTTTCCTTGCCTTCTAGGAGGTACAAGGGAGACAGCGCAGTGCAGCTAGGCACCCATCTTCCTAGGGGTGATGGCTGGCTAGGAGAAACTGAGTCTGCTGAGCAATGACACTCAGCATTATTGCTGATGTTCATTATTACATGTCATTGAAATTGGTTAAAGTGCCAAGGGCCAAAGGTTCTGGACGAGAGTTTCAGTTTCAGACCCTTACAATACATGTTAGAACCCACATCCATCTTCAAAGAAGCAGCAGATATATGCTGGTATGAGAGCTATACTTTATACAGCAGAAGTCAAACCTGATAGTCGGCCAAAGCCATGAACGGAGGAACTGCAACTACTTGGACCGTGTTTGAAGAACAGTCTGAAAGACAAGATCAGTTCTAAAACTAGGAGGAGGAGAAGTGGGTGATTCAGAGACAAGCAGTCTTATTTACTGTAGTGGAGTTTGGGGACTAAAGGTGACGATGACCCATAAGTGGTGAGGCATTTTTGGTTTGCTATCTAATTTATTGTAGTGTCAGATAATTTACTGAATTTTTGTCTTCATTTCTACTATGATCTTTAATACTCAGTTGAAATTTTTATAGGCACAGTATCTTTTCAACTGTGGAAAAATATTCCACGCTTCTAATTATTTGTTATTCTTTGTCACTATGGATCATAAAAATCAAGTGCTCTCACACCTGCATCAGGATTTATGGTATGAAAAATCTAGTGAAAGATAACCCACAGCATTTTAAACTGCAGTCCCTCTGAAGTTTTTATTTTATTTGACTTTACGTACGAAAGTTCAATTTTTCTGAATACTAGGGACTAAAAGTATTTAAAGACATTGTACATTGAACTAATATTTATTTTAAAATAGTTGAATATGTAAAGTGAATTATTTGTATTTTGGTAGGATCAGACTCAAGTAACATGCATTTCTTTTTAGCACTTTCACAGAAAGTAATCCTCTGAAATTCTTTTACAATACTAAGAAAAACAAACAAATTTTGCATGCATCTATTTCCATACAGTTTGTTGTCACTGCTTCTCCTATAAATAAACCAAAATAACAGGAGTGAGCTGATTATGAGTCCCTGAAGGTATTAACACTTTAAAGTGTGCAAGCTCATGTTATGTCACACCATTAATCTTTTAAAATGTCATCTCCTCTGACTTTTATACAATGTGTTTATAAAATGTACTGATAAAGAATAAACATACCAGCAATTTAATTCCTTCACTCTTAAAGGCTTTGGAGCGAGTTGCAGTTGGCCAAATGGTAAGTAATATTGTTTATTTTAGCCATTCTAAGATAAAATGTGTTTTTCCCCCTTGAATGCTCTTAATCCATGAACTTTTATTGACCTTCTGCATTTCTGGAATCTAAAATACCAGCGTACACTATATCAAATCCTGATAGATAGCATGTGTCATCATGAAATCACATTTTTATTGCTGTGATTGTACTTAGTGAATCTGTTTTCTTTTGACAATTAAGAGTCTGGAAAAAAAGCACAGCTTAAAATTTAAGACATAAAACTACCCATCTTAACTTCTTTCTCTATCTTTCAGCTAATACATAAATTCAGTACAAATGTCCTTCTGATATCCCTGGTTTGGATCACTCTATCCCAGTGTTTTATCAACTAATATAAAAATAGAAATTGTTATGACAAAAGCTTGAACCTGTTAGAAACATCATCATTCTCATTTTTAATCCCTGTATATTTTTTTCCCTGTGAATACTTTGAATTATTGTTGTGCAAGTTATCCTTTCAGGGATGGTGGACACCAACTGTGCAAATATTTAAAAGGCAAGGCTGAGAGACCTATTCTTTCCATATGTAAGCCCACTGACCCCAGTAGTCTTTTACTGTAAATGCATTTTGCCATGAATTTTTAATTGGCAAGCATTAACTATTTTTATGCAAACAGATCTTTCATACACAAAGGTCTGAAGTTTTCAGTGTATTCTGTTTTTATAAGCCTAGTACTTTCTGCATGGTTCAGACTACAGTGTATGATGATTCAGCTAGGGAATTACTCCTTTTGTCTTTAAAACAGTTTAGGTAAATTGTTATATTTATTTTGTATAGTAGAATTTGGATCATGATCAGTACATTTTTCCTCTGTTCTTTTTCCCTCTGCCAACCTTTGAACTTTTACTTCAGAGTTTGGGTTTCTTTTTTTTTCTTGCATTCATGGTTATGTTAGAATCTGACCCAAAAACGTAATTTTAACTGGATGCAAGAACATTAGTGAATTGTCCTCTTAAACCTGTTATGACTGATTGTAAAGAATACAAGCCAATAAGTAGTTAAGGAAGCTAATACTGGTTTTGTTACTCTGACCTTAATTTCAATGCCAATTTTAAATCCTTGCTGTTGTAAAATTTTTTGCAGCTGCCTACAGAATCATTGTTTTATCGAGCTGTTCTTCAGGTTATTATAGAAGAAATTTATGGTGTCACCAAAAGGTAGGAAGCTCTGAATTCACAGAACACAAACCAAAGATCTGATTCTTTTCCACCTCTATTCTGTAGAGAAAGTATTTCTTAGAAAGAAGAAGGGTGTAAGAATCAGTCTTATCAGACTGTATATACGTATTGGTATTAAAATGCAGGATACGTTTCTTCATCCTAAATCCACATCACAAATGTATTGCCCTTCTTGACCCATGGCTGAAACAGGTCCTCTTTGGTACTGGATGCATGGGTAAAATATTTTCGCCAGAGAACCGACAGCAAATTCACTAAAAAGTCAACCCAGTCCTGGGCTAGCCTGTTATGCAGAGGTCCTGACAGATTTAATACTGCAGAAGACAAAAAGACATTTCCATTTGTCCTGAGGAAAACCTGCTGAAAGCCCAATGGCCAGCATGGCTGTGAAGAGCTACTTACTGCCTACGCCTACATTAGCAAGTACTGCGCCCTTGCAGGATGGGATTTGGAGAGCTGGTGCTGCGGACCCGACATCTGCACTATACTCTCTTCTGGAGTTGTAGTTGGGTTAGATTTTAGCTAATTCTGTGGGATGTATGTGTGTGAGCACTTGGAGCGCATCCAGAAGCACACCTTCCAGTTTAATTTAATTTGAAAGTAACCCATTTTTTGAGCTCTGATCCTCTTCCATAGTGTGAACCAAGGCATGAGAGGTGGGCAAAACCAGAAAATTCACTTCAGAAGCATACTCCTGATCTAAAATAAGTGCTAATGCAGATACCCCCAAATCCTTTGCTAAATGTAGAGCCAGACAGCTTTCCCTTCAGAAGATCAAACTTCTGAAAGAAGAAATGCTTTATTTATTTTAAAATTACATAAAATATAGCGCATAAAACCATGGCTACTAAATTGTAAAAAAAAGAAAAACTGTGAAGTAGATGATAGTATGTTTCATTTGTTAAAGGAAGCATAATCTGGAGGAAGTAATTAAAGTCATACTTTTGAAATAAAAGCAATGGCTACCTTGGAAAGACTCCCTCCCCTCCTCACCCCCCCGTTTCATTTCTGAGCACAATGTTACATGGTGTGGAATATCCCTACGGTCCATTTGGGTCAGCTGTCCCGACCATGTCCCCCCACAGTTCTTGTGCACCCCCAGCCTGCTCCCTGGGGGGCAGAGAGAGAAACAGAGAAGGCCTTGACGCTGTGCAATCACTGTTCGGCGGTAGCTGAAACTTTGGTTTGTTACCAGCACTGTTTTAGTCACAAATCCAAAGCACAGCACTACCAGGGCTGCTGAGACGTTAGCTCCATCCCAGCCAGACCCAGACAATATCTTTCCTCCTGTAGCTTGTGCTTAGGAGGGCAGACGCCCGTCTTGCAAAGAATGACATAACAGCAGCATCATTAACTGATTTTCAGGCTGCATCAGCCCAAATGTTTAAGTGCTTCTAAATTTTATATATGACTGCAGAAATTCATTCTTTCTTTAAAAATAAATGTGAGCGTTGATTCTCAGTGAGTGGGGATCCCTGCCAGCTGAGCAGCACTACAACTGCCACCGAGTAAAGTCTTTCTGTTGACCTCAGTAGATGTTAATCCTGATCCTTAAATAAGGAGAAAGGTGTTTTACTGAGAGTAAAGAGGGGGAAAAGTTTTAAACAAAGATATTTCCATTTAGTATTGCACGGGGGGGAAAGTATATTTCCTCTTAAGTAATTGAATACTCACAAACAGCTACTGTAGCTGAAAACGTAACTCCTACACTGCACAGCTGGAAGAGGAATTACATTAAGACAGTCAAGAAAGTGAATTCAGACTAACAAAAACTTTGCGTGTTGTTTCTCCAAGGTATTTTAAACACAGAGAACAAATTTAAGTGGCCTGTTAGGATTCAGTCTTCCTATATGTTTTTTAAGTTTTCGTGCATTATTTTAACATGTTTTTTGAAACAACACACATTTTTGGCTGGCTTCAGAAGTAGGCCATTGAGTTGTAAATAGGAGAAAATTCTGGCATCACTTAGTGAAATAAAAATTGCAACGATAAGAACACAAGGTAACAAGCGAAAGTGAAATTTTACTCCAACTTGGCATTTGCTCAGTCCAGTGGTTGATGGTAAATAAATTACAGCAGCATTATAGTAAATTATAGCAGTATTGTAGAAGTATAGAAGGAGATATCTGTCAGCGGAAATAAGAATTTTGTCATTCGTATAGGGAAATAAAAATATTAGGGAGAAATTAAAAAGAAACCTTCAACTCTCCAATTTTTAGGTAAAATAATAACTGTACTATAACCATAGTACAATTGTACAGTTGCTGTATCTAGAAATTTCTTCAAGTATTAGCTAGCTTGTTTTAAGTAAAAGGAGGACCAGGGAAAATTGTCACTAACTTGGCAGTAGTAGCTGATGTCTTTCTCCTGAATTAAAAATTTAATTAAAATTAATTAAAAATTTGTAAATTTCTCTTGTTGGATGTATAAAAGCCTGCATCTCAATGCTGTATTTGCAGTGATCGACATGTTGGAAAAACTTTCTCCAAATCATCCTCCTTCATAGATTATGTCAGAAAGTCTCTGAAAAAGCTGGAACTGGATGATTCAAAGGTGAGTCACTAAATAGAGACTGCATGAAATCCTTATATCCATGTAAGTTCTTGAAGTCAGCACCATAATGCAATGATTGAGCCATTGAGTTGATTTAGTTTGTTTATTGCTGTATAAATAGGAAGTATTCTCATTTTTATTAATATTAATAGAGCCAATCCATGCTTATTTTTATGCATTAAAAAAAACATATCAAAGTTGGGGTTTTTCTTGTTTTTTGGACATAGACTTCCATGTATAAATTCTTGAAAAGATTTTGTTTTAAAATTACTTTATTCTAATGACTTTATATAAAACGAATCCTTTTTTTATACATGGTGCTTATGATCACAATTTTATAAAGCCTTTCCGGTATTTATGAAGTTAATCCTACAAATCTCCTTTGAGGCGAAAAAATGTAATACATACTCTGTTTTATACATGCTGTCATTTAGAGTTAAATATACTTTTCAGATGCCGAGTGAAGCAGGCATGAAGAACTTCTTGCCTGTGCTGATACTATACATCCTGATAAAAGTAACTCCTGCACCCTTTTAAACCCAGCTGAAATACTATCCTATGCGAACTTGTTGCTTTTTTGTCTGTACTTAAGTTTAAACTGAACGTGATCCAAAAAACCATGAATAATGAATCACATAGTAAATGCTTTGACCCCTTTTTATTTTCATTTTTTCTGCAGCAATATTATCTTGATCCCTTTGGACACCTTTTGAAACTGAAAAAAGTAACATTATAGCAAGATAGGCAATTCCATTCATGCACTATGTTTCTCTTACAATTTACTTCCCAAAGTATTTCCAATTTATTTTAGCCTTTAGACAGTCTCCTTAAGCAGCCTTTGAAGATCTTTCTGCTGCAGCTTCTGTGTATGGAAAGGCCTAATACTTTTTTTTCTTTAAATTAATAAATGTTAAGGATAAATACTAAGATTTTTAAATAACTTTCCTAGACAGAGAAAAAGAAGTAAATACAAAATTGAGATTTAAACTTAGAAAATATTTTGGAGATTTTTTTTATGTTCCTGAGTGTCTTGTCTTAGTACTACAACTGCTAAATTGGTCAACAGATGGCAACATAGCATTAGGCATGGAATATGACTGTGTGAAGATCACAACCACTCTGTGAGAACAGGTTGTGCGATGGAGACACTAGAGAGTATTAGACTGATTATTAAAAAAATTAGTACAAATCAAAGAAAAAAAGTAGGAGTGGCAAGTGTGTAAAATATTTAAGGTAAATGTTGTTGCAGTCTTTGGAAAAGCAATGCTTAAAATCTGTAGTCAAAATGTCAAATCACTTAAAATTTGCCAGGCTCATCAAACCATGAACTAGGAGAAAAACGCAAAAACAAATAAACAAGTAAATGCAAATGACATCGGAATCATGCTTACAGCATTAAGAAAAAGACTTACGCCTGAAGTTCACTGTGTTTTAAAAGGATTATATTTAATTCTATTTGCAAATCGAGTTACCTGTTTGCTTTTCTGGATAAATAGGCACTAACATCCTGCATTTACCCCAGCTGAAAGTGACTGCTAAAATGGTGTCTTCCTCAGTATGTGTGCAATCACCCAAAAGCAATAGCAGATTGTTTGTGCAATAATCAGTTTACTAAATCATTGATTAAACTCTGCTGGTGGAGAGTTATACATTCTTTCCTTTAAAACCAGTAAGCATAGAAACTTTGTGTCAATGTGCCTGATTTTAGACACGCTGCCTTTGGCCGGAAAGGGTCTGGACAGATGCAAGTTGCCCTGGGAGAACGATGTCTGTCAACACTACTTCAAGCTGCACGTGTTTGTGTGGTTGCTAAAGACCCGATTCAAGTAAATGCTCATTTTTGCTTAATTTCTCCTCATTTTTATGTACAGCTGGCTGCATACTGAAGACCGAATTTTATGCTGATCTAAACAATATTATTTTTTATTTCCCAGCTATGTTGAAATTTGCAGCAGCACAAAACCGTGCTATTTTGATACTACCGAGAGGAAAGTTGTTACTGCTCCCTCAACAGCGGTTCTGACACTGCAGTTTTCATGGTGGAGTCAGCACTACATCTACACAATATTGGAGAATGTGTTAAATTCCTCTCTTCAGAAAAAAAATACTTCCATAGCTAAAAATGTGATGAAGCCTAAACATTTGCTCTCAAAGACAACAAAAATCAAAGAGAAATTTATGCAGAATTTGTTTTCAAGCTCTGTTTTTAAAAATGAACAAAAGCGCAGCTGTACTGCATAGACCAAATGTCTGCTCTGTCTCCGGCAGCGGCCAAAAACTGATGCCTTGGGGGATACAAGGCGAGAGTAAGCATATATGAAGAATATTTCCAGAACAATCCAAAATGTGCGGGTCATTCACAAAAAAAAGGAGGCCATCATTGTCTTCATGCATAAATTTATTTAGGTGATGCTAAAAAAACAACTAAAACTTAGTAACGCTGTGTAGTACAAACAAAGAACTGTGAGAAAAAATTGTTTGCACACGAGTCTCTGTTTTACATGTGCTAAAATATTTTTTAAAAAAACATGTCAGAAAACTGCGAGTCTCAGGTCTTTTACTATGCTTATCAGAAAATTGAAGAGAGTTTAATCTCTGCATGATAATAAATGTACGGGGAAGTAGAGGGGTAGCGGCACTAAGTTTTTAGGAGTCACTGCCAGGGTTTGGCAGCTTGGCATGTATGGTAAAGTCATGGATGTTTTTGATCACCGTGGCTGAATCTGGACTGTGGGACATAAACATCCTTCCAAACTCGTGGTTCATGATGAGCACCGCAGCTGCTTCCTTTATACACACCAATGCCTCACTTCCTGATCAAGGGGTAGCCCTGGTGCAATCCAGTCGTTTTCCAGTCTGGACAAATGTGGAGGCAGGATAAAGAGAGCAAGTGCATAAGACACCTAACCTGCCTTGATACTAATTAATGCAAGTGTATGCCTTTTGCTAAATATAGAACTGGTGAAGACTCTTATCAGGTATAAATATCCAAACAGTAAGTTAATTTTTGCTATTGTTTTTCAGTAAAGATAAGTTCTTTAATCCTGCCAATTCTTCATCTGAACAAGTCCCTCTGCCTCCTTCATTTGTGAAATAGATGTGAAGATATTTGCTTATTTGAAATAAGAACCAGAGCTTTTATGAAAAGATTGTCAATCAGAAGTGAGTTAGAGTAAGACAAAATAGTAAAATATTTTTTCTACCAAAAAAATAGTGTTTATCAATCACCTAGGGCCATTCATTGTTACAAGTTACTGTTCAGGGACTGAAGTTTCCTATTACCTTAGCGAAAATAATTTCCTCTATTGTGTTTCTTTTCAATGTGGAAGAGCCTGTCAAGTCCAGATTAAACACTGAGATGCAAATGAACTGTTTTTTCTGCCTTTTGGTACAGCATCATTCCTTTCATACATCTCTCCACCTCAGTAGTAAAACTGAGACATACACCGTGACTACTGAATGTCTGACAAAATACTGTCATTTTGTGAGGGCAGAGAGAGGTCTTTTAGTGTGAGCTTGATGCTTCACAGGTATGATTATATTGCTTCTAGCTTCAGAACTAATGGAATTGCTTTGTGGGCCATGGATGCCTGCACAGGGCTCTAGTAATTGGTCTGGATCGACACCAAGGCAATATTTTATTCCTGGTTGTTCTCTTTGTCATAGCTCACTCTGTTCCTATACACTCCCTGTTGTATGGGCAGAGCATTCAGTGTCACGTAGATATGGGAGAAATCCTTTCTATCAGAAGATTTCTTTTCCCTTTTATTCACTGTTTTACCTAATTTAACATGAATGTGGGACTCTTACTTGAGAGAATGAAGCATTCATCCCTGTTCTTTCTCCTAGAGGAGCTGGCCACTCTTACGCTTGTTAGCCTTGCTTCTTTCAAACAGCAAGAGCAATCACTCCTTCCTCTTCAGCAGAACATTTTTCAGCTCTGTTCATAGCTGCCTTGCAGATGGATTTAAAACGAAGCCTCTTTATTAATATATTTGATTGCTGCTTAAGACAGTAAGTGCTACAAATGGCATTGCCACAGCAAAAGGTCCTTGCATAAGTATTTATGTATTTCTAGAGTCTTTGAAGAAAAAAAACCCAAAACTTTCTTAAATTGCCTGGTGTCCTGTACTTATTGGGGTAGATTAGCAAAAGATCTTTCATAGGGCCTGGCTTTAAGGTGGTTAAAGGGAGAAAGTGCTTACAAGGCTAAGGCCTGGATGTGTGTCTGGCAGACTTTGTGATCTATGACCCAGCTAGGATCCATTTCTGCTAGTAAGTGAGAGCCTCAGCGGGTGGAGCTGTTTAACAAAGAGAAGCTGGCCAGGATTCATGTAAAGTGCAGGCTGGGAATAAGGAGAGAATGCTATTTAATGCCACATCCGATTGCAGGAAGATATACAGAGCTGGAAACACTCCTGACACATCCGCAAAGAAAAGCTATTAGTCACTTTGATTTCATCTCCTGCTATAGTCACACTATAGTTACTGCTATGGGCTAATAGCATATAAGGTAGTTACTTTGTCTTAGTCAAAATACTTCACAAATCACTTAACCCTTTCAGATGTAGACATATGCTGGGGAGATACAATAGCAATTTCAGAGGTAGGGCCACCTTAAGCTTTCACACACAAAGAGAAGTTTATGTGCCTGTCAGTGAGTGGTCCTTGCAGATTTACTTGGCTTTGTTTAACCAAGCTTCCAAGTCTCCTGTGACTGGTGTTTTTCACTTTCAAACAGTCTAGTGTCTGCACGTAACTTGAAGTTGCTGGGGCTCTTCCCCCAGAAAAAGTCATTTATTTGGCGGGTGCCCCATCTAACAACCTGAGATGAGATCTGCAACAATAAACAGATGGTTAATGCTCAGTTTCCACCATCCCCGTTTGCTCTAACCCTGACCAGACTTCTTAAAAACAGCTGTTGCCCATTTGTCTGTTTCTGATCCTGTGCTTCAGGTAGAGCATCCCAAAAAGATTTACAGCTGTCAGGTCTCAACTGG